ACGATCTCGCGGTCCGTGAGTTCGAGCCCCACGTGAGGCTCTGGGCTGATGGCTCAGAGCCTGGACCCTGTTTCCGATTCTGTGTCTCCCTCTCTCTCTGCCCCTCCCCCGTTCATGCTCTGTCTCTCTCTGTCCCAAAAATAAAATAAAACATTGAAAAAAAAAATTTTAAAGTGATTATTGATACAGTTGGGTTAAAACCAACCATGTTTGTTACTGTTTTTTTGCTCTTGTTCTTTGTTCCTATTTTTGTCTTCCACACTTTGTCTGCCTTTTATGCTTTTACTCGAGCATTTAATATAATTCCATTTTCTCTCCTTTCTTAGCATATAGATTACACTTCTTTTTTTAGTGGTTGCCCTAGAGTTTGCAATATACACTTACAACCAACCCAAGTCTGCTTGCAGATAACACTGTACCTTTCATGAGTGGTGCAAATTCCTTGTAATAATTAAGTACTACTAAATCTTCCTTCCTTTCATTGCTGTCATTCATTTCACTTAAGCATACACACACACAAACACACACTAAGTGAACACATTGTTGCCATTATTGTTGAATAAGCATATCTATTAGATTAAGACAAATAAAAGCTTTTATTTGCTTTGATTTGATTTGAGTTTCTGACCTATATCATTTTCCTTCCCTCTGAGGAACTTCCTTTTAACATTTCTTCCTAGCCAAGTCCATTGGCAACAAATTCTGTCAACTTTGTTTGAGAAAACCTTTACTTCTTCACCTTTGAAGAATAATTTCAGAGTATAGAATTACAGGTTGGTGGGTTTTTTTCTCTCAACACAAAATATTTCACTCTACTTTCTTCTTGTTTGCACAGTTTCTGAGAAGTCAGATACAACTATTATGTTAGCCTGTCTGGAGATAAGGTGTTTTTTCCTCTGGTTTATTTCGAGATAATTTTTTTATCTTTGATTTTCAGAAATCTAAGTATAGTATGCCTCGATGTAGTTTTTTGGAATTTATTTTGCTTGATCTCTGAGCTTCCTGAATCTGAGATGTGGTAGTTGACAGTTTGGGGAAATTCTCAGTCATTTTTGTTTCAAATGCTGTTTTCATTCCTTTCTTCTCCTTGTATTGTTATATACCTTTTGTAGTTATCTCACAGTTCTTTGATATTCTCTTTTATTTTTTCCAGTGTTTTTTCTCTTTGTTCTATAGTTTTGGAAGTTTCTTGTCATATCCTCAAGCTCTAAGATTGTTTCCTGAACTGTGTTCAGTCAACTGATGAGCCCATCAAAGACCTTCTTTATATCTGTTACAGCATTTTTGATCTCTAAAATTTATTTTTTATTCTAAGGATAGCCACCTCTGTGCTTATTACATTAACCATATGTTCTTGCCTGTTTTCTGCCTTAGCATTAATGCCCTATATTGATCATAGTCTTAAAAATTTTTCGGTCTAATAATTCCAACATTCCTGTCATATCTGACTCTGGTTCTGTTGCTTATTTAGTCTGTCCAGCTGTGATTTTGTCTTTTAGTGTGCCTTGTAATTTTTTGTTGAAAGTTAGATCAGATGTAGTAGGTAAAAGGAAATGTGGTAAATAATAATATAATGGTAAGGTGTAGAGAGAAGTATTATGTAGTCCTTTGGTTAGGTGTCAGTCTTTTTGTGAGCCTGTGATTTTGGACTCTGAACTTAATGAGTGCTTCTGTCTTTTTCTTTCCTTCCCTTAAGTGAGATAGGATGGCTAGAGACAACTAGAATTGAATATTTCTCTTCTAGGTAGGTTAGTTCCCTTCTAGGTAGGGTAGTCTCTAGTTTAATAGTTTCTACTGAAGACAGGTCTTGTTAAGAAGAATGTGGTGTTCTGGTGTATTTCCAAATGGTTCCTTTTATCCTCTTCCTGCTATAAACATGAAGAGATTTTCCCCTGATAATTAATCACTGTGAGGACCTGATAGAGCTCGTGGCAGTAAAACTCAAAAAGGTTGAGTGTCTCCTATGACTAGATCTCCCTTGGAGTTTTTGACTCTCAGAATTGTCCATTCTGAGCCTCCAGCAATTCATCAACTTCAGTTCTGGTTTTCCTATTCCAGCATTGGTTGCAAGGAGGATTTTGTTCTAGTAACTGTGACTTTCTATATTCATCTGTCTCTCCAATTTAGGGGGCAGAAGTTTACCCTGTGACCTTACTTCTGATATATCTAAGAAGAATTGTTGATTTTTCAGTGTGTTCAGCTTTTTCCACTTGTTAATAAAACAGATGGAATGGAAATTTCTGAGCTCATTACATGCCAGATTATAAACTATAAGTCTGTGTTATTTTTTTTTTTTTAGTTTCCTATCCTGGCCCACCCATCTTTCTGAATTTTAGACCCATCTCTCTAACTTCCTCTCTATTTGTATGTTCAAATGATAATCTTAATAAGCTCTAATTGTAATTAAGTACATCTGCTTAGAGCTGTTCTCCTATATGACCTTCTTACTTTGGCTCAGAATAGGATCTTCCCTGTTACTCAACTAAAAATCTCAAACCTTAGTTATCTAACATTTCCTGTCTGTACACTTCTTAAAAAATAATTTTCTCTAAATCCTCTCAATTCTACTTCCAGACTTTCTTCATTCTGTTCTCCATGCTCTTGTTTAATTCCTCTTTTTTATCAGCTAAGTAGGTTAGAATAATTTCTGAAAGTGACATATTCATATCCATTCATCCATTCTCAGTATCCCCTAATTCCTGTTGTCCACTGCTTCCAGTGGTTGTAGCACTCTCTTGTTCTCTTTAGTCTTTTCTTTTCCCTTCAATCAAAAGTTACTGAGAGTTGGGAAACCTGGGTGGCTCATTCGGTTGAGCATCCAACTTTGGCTCAGGTCATGATCTCCGGGTCTGTGAGTTTGAGCCCCACATCGGGCTCTGCTGACAGCTCAGAGTCTGGAGCCTGCTTCAGATTCTGTGTCCCTCTCTCGTTCTTCCCCTCCCCCACTCATGTTCTGACTCTTTCTCAAGAACAAATAAACATTAATAAATAAATAAACAAACAAAGTTATTGAGAGTCTGCCTACTGGGCTAAATGCCAGGGAATACAGAGATTTACAAAACAGAGTTCACAATCTTCTTAAATCATGTTACTTTGTTGTTATAAAACCATCACTGGTTTTATAACCAGTGGTTTTATGGTCTTAACTCATTTCCTATGAGTTAAGATTTAACTCTGAATCTTGTGATTATACAACAGTATGGTCCCACATAGATTTTTAAATTTCCCCTTATATCCATCCTCCCTCTTACAATCCATACTTTAAACAGCGATGGGTATTCTCTGTATATATTCCATTTATTTATTTTTTTAAGTTGTATTTATTTATTTTGAGAAAGAGAATGAGAGAGAGCGCGCAGGAGAGGGGAAGAGAGAGAGGGAAAGAAAATCCCAGCCAGGCTCAGCATGCTCAGCACAGCCCGATGTGGGGCTCCATCTGATGAACCATGAGATCATGCATGACCTGAGCTCTTCCTTTCTCCATTTCTGCCAGAATCCTCCTTATTTTCAAAGGGTATCTCAAAAGCCACCTCCCAGAAAAGGCTTTTTCCTCATTCTCCCAATGTTGTCTTCATTTGTCCTCCCACCTCCCCATTCTTTTTACTTAAAACGACTTTTCTTTGGCTACCATATTGTATGGTGCCCTATATATATAATCATCTGAGGGTTTCTCTGATGCCTCTGATTAGAATTTGAGTTTTTAAAGGACAGTGGTAGAGTCTGTCATCTTTGAAATACTCAGCACACGATAAATGCTACTTGTATAATTTTTGAATTATAACTCCTCCTTTGGTGAAGTATGAGTTCTTCAAGGTCTAGTTCAAGTTCACTTCCTGTAAAACCTTTCCATAGGTACTACAGTACAACTGTCTTTGCACTTAGACAGTTTTCATTGTCTTTCTTTGTGTGATACTTTATTAAACTGCTGAGACCTTGCTTTATTAACTGTTGAATCCCTAGTACACAATTCTTAATATATGTGCTTAAGTAAATATGTGTTGAGTAAGTGGAAAAATAAATTGTCTGTTTACTTTCACATTACTGTATTGGTATCTTTTACAGTACTTAGAACATTTTAATTTTTTGAGGAAATATTTGTATTTTCTGTCTGCCTTTTCCTGATTATAATGCTGCACGGTAGGGGAAAGATCTAACCTGAATTCCTTATAAAACCTCGCTCATAGAAACAAGGATGCATTTGTTCAATCAGCAATTATTTTTTGAGCTCTTATTTTATGCCAGTGATTATTCTAGGAAATAGCGATATAAGGGCAACTAAGATGGACAATAATTCCTGCTTTCATGGACCTTACATTCTAGTTAGAGGAAAAAATTAATACTTATTGATGGGGCACCTGGGTGCCTCAGTCGGTTGAGTGTCTGACTTATTTCAGCTCAGGCCATGATCTCATAGTCGTGTTATTGAGCCTGTGTTAGGCTCTGCGCTGGGCATGGAGCCCACTTGAGATTCTCTCTCCCTTTCTCTTTGCCCACCCCCTCCCCACCCCATGCTTGTGCGCATGCACTCTCTTTGTCCCTCTCAAAAATTACTTACTGAGTTTAATATTAGCTGGAAATGCTCACCTGTGAAGAATTAGTTCTTTAGTTTTTATCTCCCTAGACCTTTCATTTCTGTTTAATGTATTAATTATGTCTCTAATTATACTTTTTAACCAAAAACCTTGCCTTTATTAAGCTTTTCTTTATGTGTTAGGAACTTTACGTATTTTATCTCTGTTCTTCAAAAAAAAAACACTGCAAGGTAGACTTTATTATTTCTGATTTATAGATGAGAAGACAGGTTTGGCATTGGTAAGTAAGTAATGTGATTTAATCATGGCACATAACTAGGAAGTGGGAGAGCTGGGATTCATGCCAAGGGCTGTCTGTTGCAGAAGCCTATATATACACTCTCTGTACAATACCTTATTTCCAGTTTCTTTCCATTTTTTCAGGACAAGTAAATCTTTAACCTGTTTTATTTTTTTCTTTCCTGATAGCCACAGTATGAGAACAGTTCACTCCAAACTCCATTTTGTGATCAGTCAGTATCCCATTCCCAGCAAGAGGAACTTGAGCAAAAGCTTGCATCTACTGAAAAAGAGGTTTTACAGCTCAACCAGTTTCTCAAACAAAGAATAAGCCAATTTAGTGAAGAAAAGAAGAAACTGGAGGAAAAGGTAGATATTTTTAATAAAGTTGAATTAGGTCAATAACATTGCTTCAACATATAATTCTTTGTCTTCTACTATATTTTAGGTGTTATACCAGGTTGTACACTTAGATTAAAATGATTAGTTTTGTAGTAACTTTTAAGAAAGTCTGTGCCGTCTACAAAAATCTAGAGATTTTCTTGAGGGATTAAAAATGCCGCAGTATATTACATCTTGCTAACTAGTAGTGAAACGTTTTTTTAAGTTTGTTGCCTACACTGAGATGTGACACAAATAACTTTTTCTTCTCTTTTTTTGGGTCCCTGTTTCTTTGTCTTGTTGAGTATGAAGGATTGGTAAATGAAATAAAGGTGGTCTTTTTCATAAGAACATGACTTAAAGTTATTTAAGCTGAAGCCCCTGATTCAGAACAAGTAGTGAAAAAACAAAATCTTTATGCATGTGATATATCCTTATATTTATTTGACCTTTCTACCTTTATTAAAGTATTTTTGTATTTCCTTTCATTCCATTATAGTGTCATTAAAGATCGAGTAGATTACCTGCTAGTCCTAATTTACTGAAGAAGCATAGATCCTTAAGCTGCTACTTAGTTGCAGAACTGGTTTTAGACTCTTGATATGCCCAGCTTATTATTCTATTAATTGAAACTTCCATTCAAGTGATCTTGAAACAGTCACCGTGATTTCTGCAGGCATGTTTGGAGTTATTAATAGAGCACTCAGTTGACATTTTTGTGTGTTTGTATATGTATACATGTGAGTTAAATTTTGGATCTTCCAAAACCTGACAAAAATGTACATGGTTTCTCTTAGCTGTATGATGTATTTTATGTTGGCTAACTTGAAAATAACTTAGGTACCTGTTTCTTGTTTCTTTTCTGTATTTTGGGGGCTCCGTGCAATACCATAATCTGGAGGGAGCTAAGAAAATATTTATTGGTTCTATAGATGTGGGAGGGACTAAAATATTTTCTCACCTGAGATTTGTTAATTGAAAGATTGTGTGCAAATTACGATGATTCGGTGGATGCAGACTTTAAAATATATTTTTATGTCTTATCTAGATTTTTCTCATCTTTTGTTACTTGAAAAATATTTCAAGCTGTTCATGTACAAAAGACAATTCTTATTTTGCCTTCTGAGTGCCCTCTTCTTCCTAAATAATATAAAACAAAATTTTCTTTAGTGTTCATTACTGTATATTCAGTTACTCATGCATGCTGGAAACCTTGCCAACATTAAGCCGGTCTCCTAAATATATATACAATCCATCTAACACTACCAGAGTGGTCCAAGTTATCATCTCTTGGCAAAAGCTTTTTTAAGGGCCTCTTCATTGGTGTCTCTGAATCCAATCTTTCCCTGCCTGTCTGCTTTCCTCTCTGTCTCCAGTCACTTTTTTTGTTGTTGTTATTGTTACAATTCCGTGTATTTTATTTATTATATTTTCTTTAAATTGAAGCATAATTTATATATAGTCAAATCAAAACCTCTCAATCACTAGGAGTGCCTGGCTGGCTCAGTCAGTAGAATATGCAACTCTTAATCTCAGGGTCATGGGTTTGAACCCCATGTTGGGCATAGAGTTTACTTAATAAGCAAACATTTCAGTCACAAGAAATTCCTTTGTGCTTCTTTCTAGTCTAGTTTCCTTCCTGTTTCTGAAACACTGTTACCACTACAGATTAGTTTTGAATCTTCTTGGTCTTCATATAAATGGAGTCATACTGTATGTATTCTTTTGTGTTGGTTTTCTTTCACTTAATACCTTTGATATTTATTCATATTGTTGTATATATATTGGTAGTTTGTCCCTATCTACTGCTGAGTTGCATTGTATTATATAGATATATCATGGTGTGTCTACTCTCTTGTTAATGGATATTTGAATTGTTTGCATTTTGGGGAAATTATCAACAAGGCTGCTGTAGACATTCCTGTAACTGACATTTTTTATATGAATATTTTCCTTTCTCCTGGGTAAATTCCTAACAGTGGAATTTCTGAATCATACATTTCATACGATAGAGGTTTCACTTACAAGAAACTACCTGAGTTCTGCACACTTAGTGACCTTTCTGAGTTGGCCTTATGGATTGGGGCATCCTGAGCCAGTGATCCTGTGTTGAGGTGCTTCAAAGCCTTATAAAAATGCTTAGATCCCCACTTAGAGGCCTGCTGTACCTAAGTTTAGCAAGAGATTTGGAGGTAGGAATGAGGTTGATGGGCTTCATCATTTATAAAATCAGGAGTGCTCATAAAAGAAGTAAAGCTTTGAAAGCTCCAAGTCCTGCATCTGCTTATGGTCATCATTAATCAGCTTTACGTGGAGTACACATCAGATGGAACCTGGTCAGCTGGCTTTAAATTTCAGCAAGCTCTGTTAGATGGGAACGTGGAACATCTACATTTGTAGAAGTGCTGTATTGTTTCTGGTGTGAATAAATGTACCTGTGAGGTAGAAAGAAAAGGAAAGACCACCCGAGTTCTCCCAGTGCTTGTACCATTTAACACTTCTATCAATGCATGAGAGTTCCAGTTGCTCCACAGCCTCCCAGCCCATTCTTGATCATGTGGAGGACTGAACTTTTTTTTTTTTTTTTTAATTTTTTTTTTCAACTTTTTATTTTTTTATTTTTGGGACAGAGAGAGACAGAGCATGAACGGGGGAGGGGCAGAGAGAGAGGGAGACACAGAATCGGAAACAGGCTCCAGGCTCTGAGCCATCAGCCCAGAGCCTGACGCGGGGCTCGAACTCACGGACCACGAGATCGTGACCTGGCTGAAGTCGGACGCTTAACCGACTGCGCCACCCAGGCGCCCCAGGACTGAACTTTTTAAAATGAAGACCTAGTCATTTGACTTACCTGATAAAACCCAATAATGCCATCTAATTGTCTTTAAAGTAAGAATCAAATTCTTCCCCTGACCAGAAAGGCCCTGCCTAACTATAATCTTTGGCTCTAGCTGTCTCCCTCTGGTACACTGTGTCACAGTGTAGTGCTTACAGTTGCTCCAACAGGTCAGGCTTGGTTTCTGGTATCAGTCTTTACACAGAATTTCTTCTTTGCCTGGTTAATACTCGACTCTCTTCTCCCACTACTCACTCACCCATTTATTTTGTCAAGTCTCAGCTTAAATATCTTTCTCCTGTAACCCCTTCTTTTTGTATGTTTAGAGCATTTTGTTTTGTTTTTCTAGTACTTAACACAATTTTGAGTAATCATTGTATTTTAATATTTCTCTGTAAGCTCTAGGAAAGCAGGGATGTATCAGTCTGTCACTGTAGCATATGTAACACCAGCCATGGTGCCTGGCATATTGAATGAATGAATGAATGAATGAATGCTTTCAAGTGATTTTTGCCAAGAGAGAAGAGAAGAGAGATAAGAGTGAGATAAGAATAAATTAGATATTAAAGATGTCAGAGCGAGTGTATGATAGAGCAAATTCCTGAGAAAAATAGGAAAAGGTTGATAACAGATGCCAAGATGGAAGAATTACTTTTGGGAAAGAGGAACAGTCTCTATATGGAGTGAGGCAGTTGAGAATGGAAATGTGTATACCAGAGAAATTCAGAAGGGGGGTTTGTGTTAGAGTTTGTGTCAGAGGCCATGGAGATGATGTGAGTTTTTGAAGGGAGTGTAGAAGCTAGTAAATAGACTCATGGGTAGCACATTAACTGATCAGCACTTGAGGCCCACATGAGATTGGACTGCATTGTTTCCTTCTGCATTTTCTCTCTGTTATCCTGATCAAGACTGATACTACAACAGAAAAGCATTCAATGTGAAAAATGACAAATAGAAGTTGCTTTAAAAAAATTTTTTTAGGGGCGCCTGGGTGGCGCAGTCGGTTAAGCGTCCGACTTCAACCAGGTCACGATCTCACGGTCCGTGAGTTCGAGCCCCGCGTCAGGCTCTGGGCTGATGGCTCGGAGCCTGGAGCCTGTTTCCGATTCTGTGTCTCCCTCTCTCTCTGCCCCTCGCCCGTTCATGCTCTGTCTCTCTCTGTCCCAAAAATAAATAAACGTTGAAAAAAAAATTTTTTTTTAATATAATTTATTGTCAAATTGGTTTCCATACAACACCCAGTGCTCATCCTAACAAGTGCCTTAATGTTTGTTTATTTTTGAGAAAAAGACAGAGCATAATTGGGGGAGGGACAGAGAGATGGAGACACAGAATCCGAAGCAGGCGCCAGGCTCTGAGCTGTCAGCACAGACCCTGATGTGGGGCTCGAACTCACAAGCTGTGAGATCATGACCTGAGCCAAAGTCACATACTTAACCAACTGAGCCACGCAGGCGCCCCAGAAATTGCCTTTTGATAAGCTCTTTCTTGTATATGCCAGATAGCATGTGAAGGTGCATTAAGTGCATTTTTTCATTTACTGTTAACTAATCTTCACAAAAATCCTGGCAGATATATACTATCTCCCCATTTTAAAAACTGAGCAAATTGAAGCTCTGAGACAAGTTGAATAATTTGTCCAGTTGGGTGTAGGTAGAAATTATTGAAAAGCAAGGAGTAAAATTCAGGACGGTTTAACTCTACAGCTGATGCTTTGTTCTAATAATAATGGTTTATTTATAAGAAAATTTAGAGGAAAACATTTCCTCAGTAATCTATTTTGTTCTAATAACTGTATTTAAAATAAAAATATATTTGTTTGTAAACCTCTTCTGAAAGCAGGGCCCTCATTGTCTTCTAGAAATAATCTCAATACTAAATAATATTTCCTTGAACAAAAAAAAGTAACCTTTTATAAATTGAATAGGGAAGATTTCTTGGTGATAGCTGATTTACCTGGAGGTAATTACTGGAGCTCAGATTTTAGTAACCAACATAAAACTTTTAAGTTAAAAACGAAACAAAACAAAACAAAAGAGCTTCTCATCAGTGAACAGGGCTTAAAAAACAACAACAACCCAGACTTAGTGATTATGTGTAATCAGCTTGTGGTCAACAAATAGCATAAACAGTATCCAGTAGGAGAGTATTGGCAGACATTTGTGGTCAAGGGCAGCAAGCTTGACACAACAGCAAAGAAGACAGTTGTCCAGCCAAAGAAAAAAAAGCAAACTAGGACATCTTTGCACAGGAGAAGATAGCATGACTAACCTATTCCATTGGCTTCTCTTTGAGGACATCGTTGTGTCACATTTAAGACACTTAAAAAATTAATATAAATTGGGGCGACATTAATAAAAATAGGCTGGTTATTTTTATTTCTGTAACTTACAGGGTCATTTGCTAAGGCAAGAATAGGCTTTGTTGATGGGGAATACAGGCAGAAATGGTTGCTAGAGAATTTGGGGGAATTTGGTTATGCGGAGTATGAAAGAACTGAAAGAACATTGGCTTTTCAGTCAGAGGTTTATATTTGAATCCCACCTGTGTCTCAGTGACTTGTACTTAAGTCACTAAAGATCTCTGGACCTCATATTCAAAAAAGGAATAATTTATGTCTTTTTTGGAAAAATTTCTGTTCACATCCTCTGCTTATTTTTTAATCATATTATTTGGTTTTTTGGTGTTGAGTTGTATAAGTTCTTTATATATTTTGAATATTAACTTCCTTATTGGATATATCATTTGTAAGAGAAATTCAATACCACGAGATACCACCTTACACCTGTCAGAATAGCTGAAATCAAAAATGTAAGAAATAACAAGTGTTGATGAAGAGGAAAAAGAACGCTTGTGCTCTGCACATTTGTGTAGCCTCTGGAAAACAGTATGAAGGTTCCTTAAAAATTAAAAATAGAATTATCATATGATCCAGTAATCCCAGTACTGGGTATTTACCCAAAGAAAACAAAAACACTAATTTAAAAAGATACATGTACTCCTGTGTTTATTGCAGCATTACTTAACAATAGCCAAGATATGAAAGCAACCCAAGTGTTTACTGTTAAATGAATGGGTAAAGAAGATGTGGCATATATACACAACCAAATAATACTCAGCCGTGAAAAAGAATGAGTTCTTGCTGTTTGCAACAACACGGATGGATGTAGGGAAGATCATGCTAAGCGAAATAACTCAGTCAGAGAAAGACAAATACCATATGATTTCACTCATACACGGAATTTAAGAAACAAAACAAATGAACAAAGAGAAAAAGAGAGAAACCAACATCCGACTCTTAAATACAGAATACAAACTGGTGGTACCAGAGAGGCCGAGTGTGTGTTGGGTGGCTGGAGGGTAAAACAGATAAAGGGGGTGAAGAATACACTTACTTTGATGAGCACTGAGGAATGTATATATTTGTTGAATTATTGTACACCTGAAACTAAAATAACACTGCATGATAATTATCCTCCAATAAAAAAAAGAGAAAAGGGGAGAAAAAAGGGAATGGCATTATGTGGTCTTTCAGATGATTACCGGTCACAACAACCTGTGAGTTCTGAAAGATCACAAATTATCACAGCATCACACTTGCCTTTAATCCAGAGAAAGCCCCAGTAAATATTAGAACTTAACTATTTTATCAATGTTGCTCTTTACCCAAGTTAATAAATATATCTTAAAGTTGTTGATGGAATGAATAGATGAAAGGAGAGGTGATTTGTTTTTCCAATTGAACTTGTTTTAATAAAAGTTGTTACACAGTGGACTTAAAAGAAATTAGATAAGACATGAAAGAAACCAGATTGTGCACAAGTGTTAGCTTTAATAAAATTTGGGAAAGTGAACTATTATACTACTAATTATTGACACTTATTTCCCTGGTGAATATGGGAAAAGGATGTAAAAACCTGTAAGTTTTTGGAAGACTAGTAATTTAAGGTGAATAAGAGTCTGGAGTTTACTTTTTAGGTAACTGTGTACACATGTTATTTGTAATTGATCTGAAATATGAAAGAACTTTGAATTTGTGCTATGAAATTTAAAGATCCTATATTTCAGGTGGAAAGGTGAAAAAATTAGTACATAAAAATCTGAGGTTCACCCTTCACAAATTAAGATATACTGGAATCATGTACCATATAGTGTTCTATAATAGGTGTTCAATTAACATGTTCTGTCAATCCTAAAATGACATCAGTGGTATGGCAAACCTTTATCATATGTAACTTTGAGAAAAAAAAAATATGTTGCAAATTCAATTATGACCTAATAAATACCTTAACAGTAGTCTTGGCTTGAGGTATGGACTGGTCTCACTAGTGCCCATATCTCTTTCCAAGTATCTGGTGATTTTTGTACGTTCTCCTGGTTTTGATTGCATTTCTTGAGTACGTGATAAACAATTTCTTTGCAAGTCAGTAACAAAACAGCTTTAATTACTTTTAGGTATCTTCCTTCCTTCCTATTTTTTTTTTTTTAAGTTTACTTATTTTGATAGATCATGCATGCAAGGTGGGGTAGGGGCAGAGAGAGAGAGGGAGAGAGAGGAAATCCCAAGTAGGCTCCACACTGACCTGAGCCAAAGTCGCTAACCTGACTGAGACACCCAGGAGCCCCGGGTATCTTCCTTTCTTATTTCACATGAAATGTTTGGATATAGCTTTGTTAGAAATAAGAAATTGAAGTCATCCCTCCAGAGACGAATATTTGCTTCATTGATTTTAAAATTCAAATTTAAAATTCTTAAATTAAACCCTGTGGCTCTATTTCTTTGTCTTTCCAGATCGTAACTTTTTTTTCCACGCCAAATTATAATGTAATATTTTAAGGTATTTTAAATATCATTCAAACTCAGCCCATAGTTGCAACATATACACAGTGTTGAAATGACAGAGATGAATAGCTCTGACCAAGTTTGTACATGTGCAGGCAATAAAAGCTATGTCATCCCTGCTACCTGGCTAACTGCAGTTCATAGGATGCCATCAGTTGCAAAAGCAAACAAAAATTTCAAAAAATTTCTTGACTTCAGTGATATAACAGTTTCTAAATATGTGAATCTTAGAATTGATGAAATAAGGTGAATCTTACCTGAGTTGGTGGTAGTCTAAACTATAACCTGGAACTGTTGCTTCTGTTGTTATTTTTTCTAATGGCACAAAGCCTCTGAAGATCCATAATCTTTTTTCTTTAGCTTAAAACCAGAGATAGATATATCAGTAGCCTGAAAAAGAAATGTCAGAAGGAATCCGAACAAAATAAAGAAAAGCAGAGAAGAATTGAGACCTTGGAAAAGTATCTGGCTGATCTTCCAACTCTAGATGATGTACAGAGTCAGAGTCTTCAGGTAACATGAAATAAAATGCTCACTTTTAAATGACTTGAAAACATAACCACTTTATTAGGTTGACTCTTTAGAAATTTCATAATTTTTAGAATTTAAAATTTTGGTTCTACATTTGGCTAATTATATTAAATTGATGTGTTTAATTGCTGTCTTTAGAATTAACTTTCATTAGAAACTTTAAGCATGAGTGTATCTTTCTTGTTGTTAATTAATATATGGTTATTTGCCTGAAAAACCTGTCTGTTAACTCTTTTACTTAACATTTTACTCTAAAAGGTAGTTTCTGAACCAGTCTCAGCCCCATCCCACACATACATGCATGCACCATATGTTCTCTGGCTTTACCCAATAATCTCTGGCTCAGCCAAGGCTCAACAAGACGTTTTTTGACTGTCTTTCCAGGTATTTGTTCTCTTCATTCATCTTAACCTTTCCATAAATTCGTACACCTTAGTCTGTGGTCTCCATTCACTCCTCTTACCTCTTCTGACCATTTTTCTTTTTTACAAGTACCTTATCCAGAGTCTTTCTACCAACTCTGGTGAAGCCTTTCTTCCCAAAACCTTATTTATAAATCTGTGAAACTTACTCTTCAGTCTTTTTCAGTTTTTCTAATGATGAAATTCTCAACCTCAGTGCTATTGACATTAAAGGGTAGATAATTTTTGTTCTAGGATTTTGTCCTGTGCATTAAAGGATGCTTAAGAGCATTTCTGGCCTCTACCTGCTAGATGCCAGTAGCACCGCTCCTTCCCTCCTGCCTCCCCAAAACCAAAAATGTCTACAAAAATTTCCAAATATCACCTTGGGGGAGAAATCACTCTCAGTTGAGAATCGTTGGTTTAATCCATGGAGGGTGATTATTTTACAGACTCTAGGCCTACAAGGGATTCTTTGTCTATAAGACTGAGAGAGGATAATGTCAGGAAGGAACTAAAGAAGTACCACAGGAGTTGGCATGAGCAGGAACAGAGAGGAATATAGATGTAAAAACACATGTTCACACCACCTTACACCATTAGGTTGGCTAATAAAAAAAAAAAAAAAGAAAAGAAAAAAGAAAGTAACACGTGTTGGTGACAATGTGAGGAAATTAGAATCCTTGTGCACTGTTGATGGGAATGTAAAATAGTGTAGCCACTGTGGAAAACCATATGATATGCTTCTTTAAACAATAACCATCAATTCCTCTTCTGGATATACCCAAAGGAATTGAAAGCAGAGTCTCAAACAGATGTTTGTACATACATATGTTCATAATAACATTATTTGCAACAGCCAGAAGATGGAAGCAACCCAATCGCTGATGGATAAAATGTCGCAAATCCATATAATTCACCTATAAAAAAGAATGAAATTCTGAAACATGGATAAACCTAAGGCCATTGGGCTAAGTGAAATCAGCCAGACATAAAAAGATAAATATGGTATGAGGTACCTAAAGTAGTCAAATTCATAAAGACAGAAAGTCAAAATGTGGTCGCTGGAGACTGAGGGCAAAGCTGGAAGGGGAGTCGTTAATGAATATAGTTTGTTTTGCAAGATGAAAAGAGTTCTGGTGATTAGTTGTACAACAATGTGAATGTAATAATACTATTTATTGTACATTTAAGCATGGTTGAGATTGTAAATTTTGTGTTCTGCATATTTTAGCATAATTAAAAATAAAATTTTTAAAGTATCCCCAAATTGAGATCATTTACCTTTCTCTCTGTCCTCTAGAAATTTCTGACCCCATTCTTTTCTTCTCCGTAATCTCATTCTCCTAGCTCCTGTTACACACAAAGGAAGAAATAAAGTATTATTAAGTGCTCTAGATAAAATATACTGTGATTTTAATCACAAGCTTGTTAATAATTTAGAACACACAGTTTCTAGCAGAAACACATTTAATATTCTATGTGTTATAAACTTTAAGAATTTTCTCCTTAGCTTCAGATTCTAGAAGAAAAAAATAAGAATTTGCAAGAGACTCTGCTGGATGCAGAAAAAAAGCTTGAAGAGATCAAAAAACAGTGTCAAGAAAAAGAGGCACAACTAATATGCCAGAAAAAGAAAGAAAAGGAGTTGGTAACTACAGTTCAGAGGTAAACAAACCTTTAGCAATTTTTTATTTTTGTTACTCATATTTTTCATAAAGCATTTCACTTAAGATACATTAATTTGTAATTATTACTATATTGTTATCTTAAAGGGGAACTCTTTTTATTTTTTTTTAATATGAAATTTATTGTCAAATTGGTTTCCATAGTAGGGGACTTTTATTTATTTATTTTTGTTTTTATTTTTTAATATGAAATTTCTTGTCAAATTGGTTTCCATAGTAGGGGACTTTTATTTTTTTTTTTTAATTTTTTTTAATATGAAATTTATTGTCAAATTGAAAGGTGAACTCTTAAGAACTGTAAGTATTATGTCATTGAAGCAGGTTGTCTTGGCTATGATTTCACATTTTAATGCAACATACTGACATCTTGCCAAAAGTTTTAGATGAGAATGGTGAAAATGTAACACCCCCCCCCCGCTGCCAAAACAAAAACAAAACAAAAACAAAAACAAAAAAACAATTAGAAACTGAAAGTATTAACACAATCTGATGGCTTTGCCAAAAAGTAAGTAAACAAAGAGAAGCAAATACTCAGACTGCACTCCTTAATGAGATACATCAAAGTGAAATAATTGACTCCCATTTTCCCTTACTGTAGAACAACAGGTATGGCTATTTTGTCATGTATCTTCCAAGTTTACTCATGTATCTTGCCTGATGGTACTCTTCTCTTTTAAATTTTTTTTTTTTTTTTCAACGTTTATTTATTTTTGGGACAGAGAGGGACAGAGCATGAACGGGGGAGGGGCAGAGAGAGAGGGAGACACAGAATCGGAAACAGGCTCCAGGCTCTGAGCCATCAGCCCAGAGCCTGACGCGGGGCTCGAACTCACGGACCGCGAGATCGTGACCTGGCTGAAGTCGGACGCTTAACCGACTGCGCCACCCAGGCGCCCCTGTTTTAAATTAATATAGTTAGAATGACAGGGAATATCATTTATTAGTATATTTAGCTAATATATTTAATCTGGAAAATTAATACTAGATTGCTAAAAAACCTAGAGAACTATGTTATATATGCAACTACATGCACTCTGTTTTATAAAACTTAAACCTTAATAGATGATAATAGATGATCAAATATAAATAGCCAAAACTATACGGAAGAATAAGACAACAAAGCAACAAAAACTAAATTTAAGAAATATACTCCTCATGCTTTTACCAATTGCATGTAACTCTAATCAAAATCCATCTGATAATTCCATGTTAATATTGCTTTACTACTTTCAAAGCCTTAAATATGCCTGGTCTACTCTTTTTCTTAGATTTCAGTGCAGAAAACATCTGATTCTGAGACATTATGGTCTTCAGTGTTTCTAATCTCTGCTTCAAAAAATTCATACAATTTTTTTTAATGTTTATTTATTTATTTTGAGTGAGAGAGTGAGTGGAGGAGAGGCAGAGAGAGAGTGAGAGCGAATCCCAGGCAGGCTCCCTGCCGTCGGTACAGAGTCCACGCGGGGCTTGTTCTCACAAATCATGAGATCATGACCTGAGCTGAAATCAAGAGTCCATCACCTAACCGACTGAGCCACCCAGGTGCCCCCTAAAATTCATATACTTTTAGCTTTACATTTATTTTTCCCTTGGTTTTTGCTTTCTTGCTCTTTAATTTCCCTTCCTATAACTCCACATCTTATAGTCTATTCTTTATTCTCAGAACAGCTTCCTGACCTCCACTATTTCAACCATATGTTCTTTTTCTTTCTTAGAGAAAATGAGAAGAGATTTTATAGGGCATTTTGATCACAAACTCAAACTGTGCCATTTTATGAATAGAATTAGGAACACTTGAATATAATTAGTTTTGTTCCATTGTGTGCTTTTATATATTTAATATGATATACCTTCCCTTTTATTTAGATTTTCTCAAATATCTAAAAATCAAATATTTAGATTTTCTCAAAATTGAGCCTAGTCTTTTTCATTAGACTTAGTACAGTGCATTTCAGAATCCGTGTTCCATTTTTTTACCTTGATACTTTCAGAGATGTTAGCATCCCAGAAATTTTCTTTTAATTTCAAGTAGATATAAAAGACCAAATAAGGTCTTCTGTAATTCTTCAGTACTTATATAGCTATGGTGTCACTTGAACTTGGAGGTAAGGGTGTTATTTCAGTTTCCTCAGCTATATGATAAACTAAAGTTCTTGTTTCCAGAAGAACTTCAGATGTGTATGTGACTATGAATTATATCATTACATTTATCTGTGCCTATGTAATGTCTCTAAGTTTCCCACTTTATTAATATATGAGAACTCTTGGTATTTAAACATCAGATAAAAATTTTTCATTAGAAGTGAAAATGTAAGTAAGATATGTGGGTGGGATCCCTAGTAATAAAGTTGATACCTTTGCTATTCAAGAGATTTATTACTTTCCTAAGTGGGCATGCTTCATAATATAAACAAAACAAGAATGTGTACATGAAAAAAGACTTATTTGGTACTTTTTCATGACACAGTATGTTGTTCCCTTCTCATAGCTGGTTCCTTTTTTTAAAGACCTTAATAGTTTTTACTGTAATTTATTTTTCTTAGAATGTTGTAACTACATAGAAGCAGTGTATTGACACTGATTTGGAGGGAGAAAGCTCATTGAAATAGAAATAATACACTTGTCACTTTTAGACTGAAAAAGCAAATAGTTTTATGACAAGTAACAATATATTACAAAGCAGTGCACTGCATTCATAATACATGAAAATTTGTCTGGTGCCATTATTTATTAACATATTGGAAGCGCTTTTGTGCCAGGTAGGACTGTCAGTTCTTTGCCCAGAATGTAGGTATGGCACTTCTTTCACTTCTTTATTTTTAGAAGAGAGAGAAAGCATAGGAAAGCCACAATACTTGAAAGAAGAAAAATAAGGGCTAGTATCCAAAATCTATAAAGAACTCACCAAACCCCACACCCGAAAAACAAATAATGCAGTGAAGAAATGGGCAGAAGACATGAATAGACACTTCTCTAAAGAAGACATCCAGATGGCCAACAGGCACATGAAAAGATGCTCAACGTCACTCCTCATCAGGGAAATACAAATCAAAACCACACTGAGATACCACCTTATGCCAGTCAGTGGCTAAAATGAAGAGATAAGATATTGTGGTTTATATACACAATGGAATACTACTTGGCAATGAGAAAGAATGAAATATGGCCTTTTGTAGTCACGTGGATGGAACTGGAGAGTGTTATGCTAAGTGAGATAAGTCATACAGGGAAAGACAGATACCATATGTTTTCACTCTTATGTGGATCCTGAGAAACTTAACAGAAAACCTTGGGGGAGAGGAAGGGGAAAAAAAGGGAGCCAAACCATAAGAGACTCTTAAAAACTGAGAATAAACTGAGGGTTGACGGGGGTGAGAGGGAGAGGAGGGTGGATGATGGACATTGAGGAGTGCACCTGTTGGGATGAACACTGGGTGTTGTATGGAAACCAATTTGACAATAAATTTCATATTAAAAAAATAAAAAAAATAATGAAAATACCAAAACCCAAACTGTAAGAAGTGTGTTTCTTTTAGTGCTCTGCAACTCTTAAGTCTGATTGTAAGCTAGTGTGGAACTATTCCGAGGTGTCTTTCTGTTTTGATTTTGGTCATTATTGTTAATGGTGTCATTCCTTTTAACCAGAACATGACTTATTCTTTCTTTTCTCAAGATTAACATGTTTTTTTTCCCTTTCAATCTTTTACTCTTAATATACCCGAGGGGCTTCCTTTTGTTGTTTTCTCTCTGTAATTCAAGTCTCTGCCATGAATAGCAGAGGAATAATACATTGCTGCTGTTATTAATGAAGGAGAAATGTAATAATTCTACTGGTTTTGGCAACAACTATCCTTACAAACAAACTTTGGCTGAGCTCAGAATGAAGGTAAAAGACATGTATCCATATAATTAGGCTCCCAAACAAAATCATCTTAATCAAGGAATTCTGCTTTTGCAGGAGAAAGAAAGAACAGGATTTGGACTGCAGAGCTCAGATTAGGGTCATAAGGAACTTCATTAGGGCCTAAGGATGTCACACACTAAGCAGCTTTGGATTCTGGTCTCAAATCTGTCATTTCTAAAAAGATGACCAGCGTCCATTGTATTTTTTACTTCTATGAGATGTAGGTGCTCATTCTTATTCATATGGAGTCTGTAGGTCTTCATTATCACTCAGTTAAAAAATATTATAGGCCCTAAGAAGGGAATATCTTTTATGTTGAAGTCATCTACCAAAATCAGCACATAGAGTGGGTTTTCTTTATTTAATTGTCTTTCTAAAACATACAGCTTGCAGCAAAAAGTAGAAAGATGCCTTGAAGATGGAATTCGCCTTCCCATGTTAGATACAAAACAGCTTCAAAATGAAAATGATACCCTGAGAGAACAAAATGAGAATGCTAGTAAGGTCAGTTGATGTCTTTGATAATAAATATGAAATCTGTGTTATGTTGGTTATGTGTGTATGGACATATAAGTTATAGCTACTTTATATTTTTGTTAATACTTAATAACTTAGTTTGGATGTTTTTATTTGGAAAGAAAATGACTCTTTTATTTATACTTTTTAAAATGTTTAATTTGTGCATGAGTGGGGTGGGGGGACGGGGTGCAGAGAGCAAGGGAGAGACCGAATCCTAAGCAGGCTCCATGCTGTCAGTGTGGAGCCCAATGCAGGGCTTGAATTCACAAACTGTAAGATCATGACCTGTAGCCAAGATAAAGAGTAAGATGCCTAATCGACTGAGCCACCCAGGTGCCCCTATTTAATGTGTTTTTTGTTTTTTGGTTTTTTTTGAGAGCAAGAGTGAGAGCAGGGGAGGGGCAGAGGGAGAGGAGGAAAGAGAGAATCTTGAGGCTCAATGCCCAGTGCAGAGCCCGATGCAGGGCTCAATCTCACAACCATGAGATCATGACCCTGAGTCAAAATCAAGAGTTGGACAGTCAATGACTGAGCCACCCAGGCTCCCCACGTTTTTTTAAGTAGGCTCCACACCCAATGTTGGACTTGACCTCACAACCCCGAGATCAAGAGTCACATACTCTACTGACTGAGCCAGCCAGTCTCTCTGAAAATGACAATTTAAGTAAATTTAAATAATTCAAATTTTTGTTAAAGCCAAACTAAGAAGAAATTATATTGCCTTTTAGCAAAACAAAAGGGTTTCTTTTCCTTCCTAAATTGTTCGACATCTGTCTCAAAGTTATTTTTATAAATTACATAGAGTTTTATCAAGAAGTAGAGGAAAACTTTTGCAGATTTATGTATGTGTGATCCAAATAATATGTCTATTTAAAGGATACTTGGTATGAATAATTTTGTAAAAAAAAAAATCATACCCTGATTTAAAAAAATAAATTCATTATTTCCTGTGTTTTCCTTTGTTTTCTAAATATTGGTACTTTTCAAAAGCAGTGGAAAAATTTTTAATTCACACTGATAATATTTTCTGTGTTTTAGATAATAGACAGCCAACAAGATGAGATTGAAAGGATGATTTTAGAAATTCAGGTAAGGAATGTTTTGTGCATATTTTAATTTAGCTGTATGCTGATTTACTCTTAGTGGCTATATAATCTAAAAATATTAAAGCATATATGTATTTATATGAAAAGATTAATAGCACTTGAAGTGAAGTTACAAATTCTTTAATATTAATCTTTTACTTTTTTAGAATGAAAATGCTCTTTGGTAAATCAGTCATTCAAAATATTTTGAAGATTATTCTTTATTCCTTACCTTTCCTGCTTTTAATTGGGTGTAATCTACTACTGAGAACACATTGGTTAATGTGTGATCCGATCATCAGTGATCTACTTATTAAAGATCATGGACTGTTTCCAGTCTATTGTGACTGGCCAACACTTCTCTTCCTTCTTGTATTATTCCTTCTATATTATCAAAGTATAACATGTTGTTTATATATTTGTGTTTTTACCTCCTGCTTAGTTTCCTGGGAGACTGTCATAGCTCATTTGCATATCTAGAGGTTAGAGTGTCTGATTCATAATACACAATCCAAAATTTGTGGATTAAATGGATTTTCATTTTTTTTTTATTGATTTGCCAGATACTTACTGAGCACCTACATCTGTGTCAGGCACTGTTCTTGGCACTGGGGATTCATCAGTGAACAAAGCAAGTCCTGGTTATTCTAGTGGGGTGAGATGGACAAAATGGAAATATAATGTCAAGGAATGATTTGTACCGTTAAAAAAGTAGGGTAGAGAACAATGAATAGACAGTGCTGCATTAGATACAGTGGTCATGAAGTTTTTCCTGAGGAAGTAATATTTGAACAGAGTTCTGGATGAAGACATCCAAGGGAAGAGCATTTCAGGCAAAGAGAGCCACCAGTGCCTGAAGGTGTCTTTTGTACTCCATGACCAGCAAAAAGGCTGGTAGTCTGGAGTAGTGCCGTGATTGTGAGGAAGAGTGGTGAAAGGTGATGGTGAAAAGTAGTCTGGGGCTAGATGTTCTTTGTATTTTATTCTGTGTGTGATGGAAAGCCGTTGGACATAATTTTGCTGAATAATTTTATTTTTTTTGTACCTCCTAATTGTTTTACTTCTTAAAAATGGAAGTAAAGGGACGCCTGGGTGGCTCAGTCGGTTAAGTGTCCAACTTCGGCTCAGGTCATGATCTCACGGTCTGTGAGTTCGAGCCCCGCGTCGGGCTCTGTGCTGACAGCTCAGAGCCTGGGGCCTGTTTCGGATTCTGTGTCTCCCTCTCTCTCTGACCCTCCCCCGTTCATGCTCTGTCTCTCTCTGTCTCAAAAATAAATAAACGTTAAAAAAAAATTTTTTTTAAAATGGAAGTAAAGAATAAAAAGATAAATGGTTTAAGTGTCAGAATTATAGATGGTATACTTTGTCTTTTGCGCATGTTAAGTGATTTATCATTTTAATCACACAGTAGGCCAGTTCAACAAGTGTGTGGGCCTGCTGGATTGGTTCACTATTCCTGTAGACATAACTTCAGTTGTTCTACAAACCATTCAAATCACAAAGTGGTTAGGTTCCTTCAGCCATTATTATTTGATTTATTATAGGCCATAATAAAAGGAATTTATATTTCAATTGGTAACATTTTCTAAGAAATCAGTCAAATAAAAGTTATCTCCGTCCAAATTAAGGACAGTGAAGATGGTCCTTTGACACTGAAATTTTGGTGGCTAAGACTTTTATTAATTCATCACATACTATCTCTCACATTACAGATTATCAGGATGTATTTATATTAATTGAAATATGCCTTTTACTTATTTGTGGTGGCATCTTAATACAATTTATTTTTACATATCAACCAAGTCTTTTAGTCACATTTAAATATCATGACCAGTGCTCGCTTCGGCAGCACATATACTAAATATCATGACCATATATAAATGAATATGTAGAAGAATATGTAATTATATGCCATTCTATTCTTTGATCTTAACATGCTTGAGTAAACATTTCTTTATTTTTTCAAACTAATTAATGAATGAAAATCAAATTATTGAGATGCATTTATTTCCAAATATTTGGGGCCAGACAATATACTCATTAATTCTGTTGTCTTGTTTTTTGAAGCAATGAGTTAGTCATTGTGGCCATCTAGATCTATAGATCTTGTATATGGTTTGCTAACAGAGACAGATAGCAAATGTTGATAACTGTCCAGGGCAGCTATATTTATCAAGATATTTAAATAGAAAATTATAGAGGATGACAAATATGCTTAAAATGATGACAAAATTTTTTGCTTTGTGTTTCTTATGAAAACTTTTGAGTTTTTGGCCCCTTACAGTTAAAAAAGCTAGTTTTTTTATTTGGTGGTTTCTGATGAATATAAAAGATGTGTTCTCTGTGAACATCTAAAAATATTGCTTATTCTAAAAAATTGATACTAGTTATTTCCCTAGCATTGGAAATCACAGAGAGAATCTTTTTTTATTATTTTTTAAATATTTTCTTTTATTTATTTTTGAGAGCAAGAGAACACAAGTGAGAGAGGGGCAGAGAGAGGGAAACACAGAATCTGAAGCAGGCTCCAGGCTCCAAGCTGTCAGCACAGAGCCCGATGTGGGGCTCCAACTCATGAACCATGAGACCATGAATTAAGCCAAGGTTGGAAGCTTAACTGAGCCACCCAGGCATCCCACAGAGAGAATCTTAAAGAGAACACTTTGAGTTGAAGAAGAATTTTTGTTGCTTTGTACTATAGTTAATGGGCTTATTATCAAGTTGATACACATAATAGAGCAGTTCCCTTTAATTACTAGGTATTTAAAACTGCCTAGTCTTGGGGCACCTGGCTGGGTCAGTCAGTTAAGCCTCCAACCTCCTCTCAGGTCACAATCTTGCAGTTCGTTCCTGACTGAGCCCCGCATCAGGCTCTGTGCTGACAGCTCAGAGCCTGGACCCTGCTTTGGATTTTGTCTCTTTCTCTCTGCCTCTCCCTTTCTCACCCTATGTCTGTCTGTCTGTCTGTCTGTCTCTCTCTCTCTCTCCCTCCCTCTCCCCACCCCCCTTTCAAAAATAAATAAACATTAAAAAAAAAATTTCCCCTTAACTGCCTAGTCTTTTCCCCACCTGCTTACATAAGGAATGGCCAGCCTTACTTCTGTAGAGATTATGATGTCCTTCCTATATGCTATAGCTGTTTTTAATTTCTTCAAATTCCTTTGCATAACACAAAAAAATACCTTATAATGAGGTATTTTAGAAATAAAATGTTGTTTGCAAAGTAACACAAAATACATTATAGTGAGTGATAGTAGGGCTTTCCAGCCATTTTTTTAAACATGAATTAATACGATTACTTTAAAAAAATTTTTTTTAGAGTTTATTTATTTATTTAGAAAGAGAGGGTGCAAGCAAGGTAGAGGCAGAGAGAGAGACTCCCAAGCAGGTGTGGAGCTTGATCCCACAAACTAGGGGATCATGACCTGAGCTGAAATCAAGAGTTGGTTCCTTAACTGACTGAGCCACCAGGTGCCCCGAGTTATACATTAAGCTATCAGTACAATATTAAATTTATTGTAAAATTTCACTGCTATTATAATTTGCATATTCTTTGTTCATCCACAGTGCCAGGAAGTTCTTCCATTTTAGAGGGTTTACTAGACAAAACGAATGTAGTATTAGTAGAATGTCCTGTTTCACTACTTCTTTATGTCCCTGCAAACTATTGAGATGACCAAATTTGTTCAAATTCCATTTGGCTGACTTTTGGAGTATTGCATTGCCTTGGGTGTAAGCAGGTTATTCTTACAGTTTAAATTTTATGACAAAAGAGAAAAATGAAATCCCTTGCCATATTCATTTTTTTGTCCCATTTATAGGAGATAAAAATAAGGCATTGTTACAGAGTTGAAAGTGCTATATTTAAAATACAGCTGTGGCTTACCACTATGTACCAGAAATCAAATAAATACATAGCTGGTTTAGGGCAGTGGCAGATTTATTGATTCTAATGTTGGGGAGAAATCAGTCTTCTCTTAATTATATTTGTTGTTGAATATAGAAAGGTAGTACTTTATGTAAAAGTATCCTGATTTTGAAACTGAGTTTAGTGCTGTAAAAATACAGATTTGTCTACTATTTTGTTCACCCATCAAGGTGATGTTAACAGACATGTAACTTGTTTATTCATTGATCCTTTAGAAATAATGCTTTTGTCTACATTTAAGAAACCAGTATAGCTAAACTGGTTTCATAAACTGGTTTCAAAAACCAGAAGTTTTTCTTCTGTCAGTGTACAGTATAAGAAGATATTTTGTAATAGAACATTCCCCATCATTTCCATAAATGTGACTTCAGTCGGAATGTGAATTAGTTCATTGGGCATTGCCTTCCCTCCTATTTATTCCTTAAAAGCACATTTCACCTGCATAAATAATCCTGTTTCCAGTGAGCTGTTATCATTTTGTATAACTATTATAAGCTTTCGGCAGAGGACATACAGAATAAAAAAGTTTGTTAGATATACTTGTTTTTCCTAACATACTGAAATTGTTTCTTCACTGAAAGAGTTTTCCCATTTAAATTGACCTTCTGAGTTGACAGCTATCAATGAACATTGTAACATAAAAGATACAATAATTCTTTAAGGTCATTAAGACTGTTCACTTTTAAAGCCATGGTTGGAACCACCAATCTCAAAACTGTAACAGCCTGTCCTATTTATATCACTTCAAGAGAACATGTTTTCACAGCCTCCAAAGATTTTATTCCAATATTTAGCAAGTCTGTCTTAAAGCCTTCATCGAGCAGGTTTTCTCAGTAGAAACAGTGGGAAAATGGATCATAAACCTTTAGAATGTCTTATAAGCAGAATTTAACTTTCCTTTAACCTAAATAGATAAATTGGTTTAATATTTTCACTTTATTATTATGTGATGTTTACCTCCTGTTTTTATGTTATCCTAGTTTTGTAATGTGACCTGACATGAAGTTCTTCCTTCCTAGTTTTTTTTTAATTTTTAAAACATTTTACCTTTGTGAAATTGCTTTTATAATGCATGA